CCCCCACTCCCTCCTTCACAATAAGTTGCAACGATTCGCATACATTGGAAGAAGGCGAGTCATCAAACATAGGCTCAATAAATAAAGTACTCAGAGAAACATGACTGGAATAAAAAAATGATAGCAGTATTTAAACAACCCGTAATTTTCAATCAAAATTAGAAACTAGAACATTGTGACAGAATATGGGAACTATGGAAACGTAATAACATTAGTAACAAGTCATTGTTCCATAACTCCAGTCATTTCTTCTAGAAAATCATATCATGAAACTGGCCCGTTTGTGAAGAAAGCTGTGGGCGCTGTGGAACGCGTTGACCTGCTCCTACTGCTCGACCACGATTTGCATGAGCACCTCCACCAGCTGTGTACTCAAACTGTGAGGTCTGAAACAGGCAAACTATCTCACAAATTAGTTAGATAGTCAAAAATGTTTTATAGTTGAATAATGCCATCTGAAGCTATCGTTTTCTAAAATGGAGAAAAAACAAAGATACTATCTAACATAAGTGAGCAGAAAAAAAAACGAATTTTGCTGCATCTTTTCGACTCAAGTTCACAGAAGTTCTCCTCCAAAAACTGCTACTTCTCAGTTTTCAACAACACATAAAAAGGGCCAACGTTGACTCAATTATCTGTTAATTTTCAACAGTCGCCTGCGCTATTCGCTTTCTGAAACTTCACTGAATACTACTTGTATAGTTAAAGTTAAAACTTAAACTGGAATTTCAAATCCAAACCCATAATTAATACGAAAAAGGGTAGTATCTACCAATAACCACCAGTTATGTTAGACATATACAATTTTTGGAGAATTAAAAAGAAATTCAAGCCATTATGTGTTACTCACTTTGACTGTGTCCATAAGATCTTTAAAGTCATCCTTGGAATAGGGCGCCGTATAGAAGAAGGTATGATCAAGTGCTTTTTCTGCTTCAAGACGCTTGCTTGGATCTAGTGCCAACAACTCATCAATGAGACAGATAGCGAGTTCATCCTTCAAACACAAATAATCAAAAGCTAATCGAGACATACAAAAACAACTTCAACCTTTATGTAAGCTCGCATACGTTGTGGAAGAATGCGCGGTTGACCCTGTGGAAGTTCCATTCGATCGAACAGCGGCAATTCGCTCACCTGAATAATTTTAAGCTTTGAGAACACCTCTTTTCTGGGCGTAAACATAAAGAAATGAGTTCATAGCATACCCTATCCCAGGAATCTTTATCTATAGAACCACATAGGTTGCATATCATAGTAAGTTGTTTCTGCTCGGTGTCGCCTTGCATGATAGGCG